GAGTTGTGGTGCTGGCAAAGAATGCTGAAAGTACCATGGACTACTGAAAGAACTAACAGATCTGTCCTGGTGGAAGTACAGCCGAAATGCTCCTTGGAGGCAAGAATGGCCAGACTTTGTCTCATCTACTTTGGTCATGTTGTCAGAAGGGACCATTCCCTGGAGAAGGATGTCATGCTTGGTAAGGTGGAGGGTCGATGAGGGAGGCGAAGACCCTCAATGAGATGGATTGACACAGTGGCTACAATGATGGGCTCAGGTATAGCCAAGATCATGGAGCTGGTGCAGGACCAGACGGTGTTTCATTCTGCTGTGCATGGGGTCACTGTGAGTTGGAGACGACTTGATAGCACCTAACAACAAAAACGACAATTATTTTGGTGCTCAAATTGCCTCAGGTTTGGCCAACGTGGCCCCCTTCATTCTGGCTGCTGCCCCAGGGGTGAGCACCGTGGTACTGCTGAGCACCGTGCTTTCTGACAGACAGGGAGTCCCGGGTTCATCTTGCACCTCCCATGCCTGCCCTTGGAATTAACTGTCTCTCTGAAAAGTCTTGGTTCTTCCCAGCGGGTGGTGGTATTAGGGAACAAGATTTGGACACTGCATGTGCCCATTCCTATTGAGATGTCTTTGCCTTTTGACCCTGTAGTGGACAGAGCTCGGAAACATGCACAACATACACATCTACACACGTCTCTCCACGAACATGCAGGCATGTGTATGTTGTTGTGGGGTGCTGTTGAATCAATGTCAACTCATAGTGATTCTATAGGACAGAGTAGAACTGCCTCATAGGGTTTTCTAGGCTGTCACCTTTATGGGAGCAGATCACCAGGTCCTTCTGCCATGGAGCCACTAGGTGAATTTGAACAACCAACCTTTCACTTACCAGCTGACAGCTTACCCCGTCGCACTACCACGGCTTCTACATGTGCATGTTTTAGAAAGCATCAGTTTGTACCTACATCTCCAGTTCTAACTGGTTCCAGCAGGGCTCGCCCTTGCCTCCCCCACTTCATATCTGTGCATCTCTTCTTCCCCAGCGAGAGCCCTGGCCCCCCACAGCACTGCATTACGGTCCTGTAATAGAGCTAAAAGCGTTGCAGAGTTTCTTCACCTGTGCCATTATATTAAATGACTGGAGAGATTTGTTTGCAAGCCTCCCCCGCCCCGATACCATGCCTGTCTGCACACTGAGGGTGTGTGGGCAAGAGTTGTGTTCACAAAGTACTTGCAGGGGGCTGTCTTCCTTTCCCTCTTCAGGGTGGTATTCATTTGAAAGATTTTGGGGTTCATTTTTTTTCAAGTTTGCTTTCAATTTTAGGCTTCGTGCCTTCCAATTCTTACTGATTTTATTTCCTTTTTTGAATGTGTAAATCCTGACATACTTTTAAAGCTCAAAACTCTGCATAGAGGCATGTTCAAAGAAGCGCCCTCCTCGCACGTCCCCCCTCCTGTCCCCCTGTAGGTAGCTAACGTGGCTGCTCTCTGCCTTCTCCCCACTGAGTCTTTGTGGACAGAGAAACAGATGCCTGTCCGTTTTCTTCCTCTCTCTTCTTTTGACTCACAGGCTTGTAGCCTGCTCTTCTGGGTGTTACTCTTACCGGCATCTCCAGAAACCACTCTGTGTCTGCTCCCAGAGGTCTTCCTTAATCCCTCCTACAAATGCACTGGGTCCCGTCTGTCCCCAGCCCCTATGCTTGGGCATTTAGGTAGTTTCCA